TGTGCGTGTCCTCGTTCATCGGGTGCGGCGGGGGGCGATGAAGCGAGGAAGATGTAAAGTTGTAGTGGAAACGACAATACATATCGCCGATCTCCGTGGGATGGAGGTCCTGTACAAGCACTGAAAAAACAACAGCAACAAAACAAAACAAAAAAAAAGAGCAAACAATAACACTAAAATTTTAGGCACTCTTAAAGACCTGCCTCTAAAAGCATTGGATGTAGCATTGTGCAATTAGGTGTTTCCTTATTTGCTTCATTGTACTACCTGTGTATATAGTTTTTACTTTATGTAGCACATAAACCTTGTTGGGAGGGGGGAGGGAGTGGAAGAGGGTGACCTATTGGAACTTGCTTTCACAATCTAGCAAGCAAAGAAATGTATGAAGAGAAGCAGTGTAGGTTTTTTATTACTTAAAGATGTATTGTCCCTTTAAGTGGGTCCGCCGTGTTTTTCTCCTTTTTTTTTTTTTTTTTTCCCTCCCCATGTACCATCGTGGTAACCCTGCTCAGAGCAGATTATTAACAGGCCACTGGTGAAATTTCTTCCTCCTGCATTAAGCTGAAGAGGTGGGAGCTGTGATGATTCCGTTATGTAGTAGCAAAAGTTCCCCCCCTGCCCCCCGACCTCAAATCCATATAGCAAATTTGAATGCCTTTAAAAGTTGTGTAAAATCATCCTGTTGTTACATTGCCCGATTTCCTTTTTTTTTTTTTTTTTTTTTTAACCTACTGGAGGGCTTTTGCTCTGAATCTCGAATATTGTTGTTTTCTGATCTGACCCACTTCCCAAAGTGTTTGTGTGTGAGAGAAAAGGGATACTACATCTTTAAACAGTATTTCTACATTGCCTGTGTACCTGTATGTAAAAATAAAAAAAAAAGTTTGAAGTGTACCTGTGTACATAACTCTGTAAAGACACTGAGAAATTATACTAACTTATTTATGTTAAAAGATTTTTTTTAATCTAGAAGACAATATTTTTCCCCATAAAGCCAAAGTGGCATGTTTTTGTGCATTTGTAAATGCTCTATTTGGTAGACTTTTTAGGGTTTTTTTTTTGTTTGGGGTTTTTTTTTGTTGGGTTTTTTTTTTTCCTTTTTCTGATAATATGGCTGTGGTTAAAGGATTGCAGACTGAGCCAATTTAATATTTTTTTTTGTAATGTGTGGGAAAAAAAAATCCAGATTGATACTGTTTCACATCAAGCAATCAATAAAGAAAACTGCCATATATAAGATACATGTTCTTCATTAGTGTGTGTTTCAACCTCCCTCAGCTTGGCACAGGAGGAAATAAGGCTCCTTCAAGAAATACAGCAAGTTTCCTTTGGGTATCTCTTCCTGTGTCTCCAGTGCAGGTGAAAGTAAGGAATGCAGCTCGCTCTCTTCACCCTTAGTGCCATGCTATCATTTCTCCTCTGTGATTACTGGGAATGATGTGCCCTCTTAACGCAAAAGAGTGGAATTTCCTCTGTCACAATGTGTTTTTTTTTTTTCTTTTGGAGAAAAATACGTAGCTCGAGGTACTTCTGGCACTTGGTCGTTTGACTCGTGAGGCTTAAAACCCGAGCCCAAATTAGCACCTTCCTGGGCCGGACCGCTGCCAGTTCTAGACCAGAGAGCCACCAAACCTCCGGGTTTGCCCCCACACCCCCCCCCCCCCGCCCCCCCGCTCGCACACCCCCAGCAGATGCTGGTGCAGGCATCGGCGCGGCAGCCCCGCCCCGGCCGTTTACGCCAGAGGACCCCCAAACCCCCGGGGTTGCCCCCCCCCCCCCCCCCCCCCGGACTGCTCGGGGAGATGTGACATACACAAAACCTGAAGCTAAAACCTTGCTCTTAAAATTATGAGAAGATAGTGCTTTTCTTCAAATTCTTTCTCATTTGTAGGTTCAGATAGACAAAGTCATGTAGCTTTAAACTATGAGAGACCACCTAAAGTTGCACAAGGTAAACTAAATTGGTGTAAAATGGTCATTTTATGTTAGTGCATCCTTTGGGGCAGAATGTGTTTATTTTTAAAATACCAGGCTAATGATTTTCAATTTATGTAATTGTGCTTCAGTTTCATCAAGACTTAAGGCTGTTGACTTTAACGAACATGGAAACAGTGTGTTTATTGCTACAGCAGAGCTGTTGATGTTGCAGGGGATCAGAATTAGAAGTGTTAAATAGCATAGAAATAAATATGGTAGACATGACCAAATGTGAGTTCATAAAAAATGCAAACAGAAGCCAAGTACCGCTTATCTCAGTCTCAGTTTCTGGACTACTAGCTCTAACACATAACTCCCTGCAGCAAGAAAGCTCCTCACATTGCTTATATGGCTTATAAAGGCTTGCTGGCTTGGAATAATAAAGATTGTTTTATGAGGGAAGCTTCCTGTGTTTGATCCTAAATAGATCCTGTATTTCATCAATGGTTACAATGAATTCGTGCTATAGTAGTATATGATGCTCAAATACACAAATGGCAGCAAGACATTTTCTTTCTTGACGTATTCTGCTTTCAAAATGGACTTGACAAAAAAAAAAAA